AAATAGGAAATCTGAGTCCCATTCTATTTCCTCTTCTACTAAGATTCAAAATTTTACTCAAATTAATACACTTAATCTAATAAAGACAAGAAATCTTATTTCTTTTCTGATAGTAATTATCTCCCAAAGGATTCAGTGTCCTACTGGGATTCTAGCCCCTTGGGTTCACTATAAAAACATAGGCTTGCCCTCTCATAATTGATTGAATCTTGACTACTCAAAATCACCTCTCCTTACTCCTAAATTCTTGCTCCCGAGAACTCTACACCTTCATCGTGGTCTTGGCCTTCGACAAGACTCTTAGTAATCTTTCTTTCCCTAATTCTCATTAAATTGTATCTTTCAGCCTTATTGACTTGAGTGTCGGAGTGCTTACGACAAACACCACCCCGGTGTTTTCTGTAAGCTTCACGCTTGTCTTTTCATGTGTGCAGGTCCAGCGGATTGTTAATGGTCTCAACCTCACGGGATTAGACCCTATTTCATGAGGAACAGATGTTCCATTCATGAGGAACGATTGTTCCTTTATAAGGAATGGTTGTTCCATAAGAAGGAATGGATGTTCCATAGGGAATGGTTGCTCCATTCATAAGGAACATTCATTCCTTACGAAAGATGACCATTCGTCCCTAAGAACGACCATTCCTTCATAAGGAATTTTTGTTCTTTATGAAAGAATGATTGTTTGTCCCTAAGAATGGTTGTTCATTCATAAGAAATGATTGTTCTTTATAAAGGAATGACCATTTGTCCCTAAGAAACGACCGTTCGTGTTTAGTCAAAGTCATTTAGTGTCTTGGGTATGACAGGAACTGCTAACTCAGCTGTCACATCGTGTTTGTGAGATTCGTTTGTCAATCTATTTTTGTGCTTAAATATATTCTTTTAATCATATTGAAAGCAATATTGGTATTCAATAAGAAACTGTTTAATTGATCATTATCATCTGTAAAATAAAAGTTAGAACCCAAATGATCAGCGTTATGATTTGATATTTTGATTGAGTCAACCCTAATCTTTAGTCTCAATTTGGATGATTTATTTATTAATTTTAGTTCCCAAATTTAAACTTAATCCCTCGCTCGCCTTGGGTGTGAACAGAATTCAGGTCATGTATATGTACACAATTTTCGAGAAAATCTATCAATTGAATAGCCATGTTTAAATTTTTTTTTTTTTTTTTAACGCAATAAGAGCATCTTCAATAGTGCTTTTTATTTTGAAAAACATCTTTCATATAAATAAAGAGCATCTTTATTAATTTTTAAATATAAAAAACACAATTTTTATTTAAATCTAATAAACTCTTTAAATTTAATGAAGATGCTCTTTATTTTTAAGAAAGAGACTTAATGAGAGAGAGAATTAATAAATAAAATGCATAGGAACTTGTAGTTTATTAATTAAAATTAGGATAAAGAGTGAAATTTGACTCTCTAAATGTGGAGAGCCAAACTCACTCTCTAATTTATATTTTAAAGATAAAGAGCCTGTTGGACTCTTGTTTTTATGGATAAACTCTTTATAATAAAGAGTTTGAGTTAAATAAAGAGTCTTTTGGAGATGCTCTAATACCATGTTTGTCTCGCCCCAATCGGGGTGGGGATTTTTTCCCTGCCCATCCTCACCCCATTACTCGAAAAATTTGGGGAATCCCCACCCCGATTGGGGTGAGACAAACACCCAAAAAAAAAAAAAAAAAAATATTACACATTTGGTTGTGTTGTGTATTCGCAAGAATAAGCGAGAATGTAGGATAAAAATGCAATTGAGACTCGAGAGGTTGAGAAACAATGTCTAGAAATGGCAATGGGTCGGGCTAGACCCTTTGCTTGAGCCCAACTTGACCCCCATGGCACAGGCCTGGACCGTTACAGGCATGATGTGTAAAGCCCAAGCCTGGCCCGATGGGCTTTTTATAATCCAATCTCAACCCATTTTTTTAATTATAATTTTAGAAACAATTATTAAATAGTAATCTTAATAATTATTGTGAAATAAAATAAATTTCAATTCTTTTTTATATTTTTAATTTCAGAAACAGTTTTTAAATATTAATTTATTTTGAATACTCACCAAATATATAAATAACAGTCCACCCTCATTTCTTTTTATATAATTTTCATTTATAAGGTATATATATGTAGGATAATTCTGTAATTAGATATATATTATAAGGATAATTTAATAAAATTAATAGTAAAATTGTTGGGCCGGGCCAGGACTGAAGATTGTCCCATGCCCGGCCCGTACCTGAGGGTGGGTCCTAAAATCAATCTTAGGCCCAAGCCCAAGCTTGTTAACACCAGGTAAAGCTTGACCTTTTTGGAACGAGCTGGGCCGAGTACCCGGAAATATCAGGCCTATTGTCATCTCTAACAACGTGTTTCATCTTCTTTTAAGTGGTTAATATTGATTTCATGAATCACATGTTTGATCTTTTTTTCTCAAAAAAAAAAAAAAAAAAAAAAACAAGGTTGATCAATATTTTACTGATCAAAGGTTAGACCCTAGTTATTCTTACGTATAGCAAAGTAGTAAAGAAAAGGATAATATTAATTACTTTCGTCCTTAAAAAATTTCTCTTGGGATTCTTGAAACATTGCGACTTTTGTGCAAAGGTGGCATTTTCTTATAAGTCTTTAAATAGAGTAAATGACTTATTACCACCCAAATAATGACTTAATGACACTTTTCCATCTACAAACTTTTAAAATACCATTTTATTATCCAAATTTAAATTCTGACAGTGAATAGAGAGCAAACTCCGTCCAAACTGTTAGGGCTTTTAAAGAGGGGAGGTCGATGAGTCTTTTGGTGGTGAAAGATTGAATTTTGGTGATTGGGATTTATCGGAATTTGATTTGGGAGAGGCGGCTACGCAAACCCTAATCACTCGATTGGCAATGATTGAAGAGGTTGGCAGGAGTAGGGTTTAAAGAGTTTTGGTGAGTAATGACCAGAGAAAAGAATGGTGGTGGTGTAGGATCATAATGATACTAGAATAAAAAAAAGGAATATAAATTTGAATAGTAAAATATATTTTAAAAATTTGTGGGTAAAAAAGTGTCATTAAACCATTATTTGGATAGAAAAAAGTTGTTTACTCTTAAATATATTCTATTAATCATATTGAAAGCAATATTGGTATTCAATAAGAAACTGTTTAATTGATCATCATCATCTGTAAAATAAAAGCTAGAAAAAAAAGAAGTTTTCAGTTTTTCCCAAATGATCAGCATTATGATTTGATATTTTGATTGAGTCAATACTATGGCTCCGTTTGGTTCACATTTTTACGTTTTTGGAAAAAGTTTTTTGAAAAAAGTTAAAAAAAAGTTGAATTGGGTAGGTATTACGATGTAGGATTTACAAATTAATAAAATACCCCCTATGTTTGTTTTTTTACAAAACACCCCTATAATAAAACATTAAAAGTTAACAAAAACACCTCCAACCCACCCATCAAATACGGACAGCCGGCCACCACTGCTGGAGGGTGGCCGGAGTCGCCGTATCGGCGCATGACCGGCTGGATCTTGCCAATCGTACGTCGATATGACCTTTTCTGACCAGATCCACAGTGGATCTGGCCGACAAAGGCTAGATCTATGGCTAGATCTGGCCATTGACAGCCAGATCTGGCCGCATTTGCTCGTCAACAACGGCTAAAGATACAGCCATCGTTGATGGTCAACGACGACCATATGTTGGCCGTGGTCAAAAAAGGCTAGATCGGCGCACTACCGGCAAGATCCAGCAAGTAGTGTGCCATCCTACCAGATTCCGGCCAACTTCTGGCTGTAGTGGCTGGAATCCGGTATAATATGGGTTTAGGGGTGTTTTTGCAATTTCGAAAAAAAATATTTAGGGGTATTTAATTAAGTTAACAAATTTAGGAGGTTTTTTAAAAGTTGAATAATATTGGATAATATTATGAGTTTTTGGATATCTTACTATTTAACTTTTTTGGGAATACTAATAATAGTATTCCCAAAAATCAATCAAATGGAGCCTATAATTTCTTTACTAATTTTAATTCACGCTCACCTTCGGTGTGAACAGAATTCAATTCATGCTCTTTTATCACCAAATGAATTAAAACTTGAAAGAACATATTAGATTATTTTTTATTCCTTTATCTTTAGACTACCAGATGATTCAATAATACAATATTCCTTAAATTAAAAACACCCCCTTAGAGTTAACTTGAAGTGTTACATGGACTCACCAAATCTATAACGACAAAAGGAGTTGACTCAGGAATCATCCTTAACTTGGACAAAACTCCCCCTGTTAATAATTAATTCTTCTTTTTATTTTTTTCTTGTTCCCATCAAATCATTATGGCTCCGTTTCTTACACTTTTCGAAATACTATTATTATAGTATTCTAAAAAAAATTAGCAAGTTAAATCGACTTATTTTTAAAATATTATTTTATATTATTTAATTTCTTTTAAACTTTTTAAATTTATTAATTTAATTAAACACTTTTAAATATTTTTTTTTAAATTACAAAAACACCTCAACAACTCTTTGGTGGTGATGATCGACTGTCCGTATTTAATGAGTAAATTATGAATATTTTTATTAATTTTTAATATTTTATTATAAAAGTGTTTGATAAATAAATAAACATAAAAGATATTTTTATTAATTTTAAAAAATAAATATATGAAATATGAGTAAGCATACTTTAAATAAGACTTTTTAACTTTGTACGTTTCTAATTGACTAATTCCATCGTGAATCGTGATCACTGTGCTGTATGATGTATCTATGTTTATGTAATTACAAATGTACAGCTGTCATATCTAATTTTTTTTGGCATGGAAATCTTAAGCCTTTGAAGCTTATAAAAAAAATTAATAAACAAAAGCTATACCACTGAATATGAATACCTTACTGTCACAAGACTCTCTTCAAAGATAAACACTCAACTCAAGAAGATAAACCCACTACAAAACTTGCATTATTCAGCGTCCATCGAAATCCAAAATGGCAGATGAAACTACTTCATCATCTCCAACCATTGATCCCTGCGAATACCTTCAGTTCTTCCCCAATCCCGACGGTACTGCCACTCGCAAAAGCAACGTACTCCTATCTAAGACCATATCCGATCCTGACCCTCGAGTTCTCTTCAAAGATGTCCCCATCAGCACTTCAAACAACACCTGGGCTCGCATATTCCTTCCCCGTCAAGTACTTGATTCTTCTTCCACCACCAAGCTTCCTCTCATAGTTTATTATCACGGCGGAGGCTTCATTCTCGGAAGCCTAGACGACAGACTTTTCCACGATTTTTGCTCAAACGTGGCGCTTGAATATCCTGCTGTAGTTGTCTCCGCCCAGTACAGGCTTGCCCCGGAGCACCGTCTTCCAGCCGCTTACGATGACTCCATGGAAGCATTGCACTGGATCAAAACTACGCAAGAAGAGTTGTTGAAAAAATATGCCGATTTCTCTTCATGTTTCTTAATGGGGCCTAGTGCAGGTGCAAACACAGCGTACCAGGTAGGACTGCGTGCAGCGGCACAAGTTGAAGACATATTGCCATTGAAGATCAAAGGGCTCATACTGCAGCACCTTTTCATTGGTGGGGTGAAGAGGACGGAGTCCGAGTTGAGGTTGATTAATAATCCAATTTTTCCAGTATGTGCTAGTGATTTAATGTGGGAATTCTCATTACCACATGGCGCTGACCGTGATCATGAGTATTGCAATCTAACGGTGGGTGGTGGGTCAGATGTCTTAGATCAAATCAAGCAACTTGGATGGAAGGTATTGATCACAGCAACTACTGGGGACCCAATGATTGACCGTCAGGTTGAGATGGCGAGAATGATGGAACAAAGGGGAGTTCAAGTGAAAAGTCATTACGATGAAGGAGGTTATCATGGAATTGACGTTATTGAGCCTGAAAAGCGTAAGGCTGTGCCTGTTATCATGAAAGAATTTGTGAATTCAGCCATGGCTCCTCAGTCAGTGAAGGATATTGTTGGTTGATTGGAGATTTCAGATTTGTCATGTTTTCTTTCAGTACTGATAAAATAAAAAATTGATAGGTGTTGGAGTAACGTTTCCGAAACCGTTGAATATTCAATGGTTCAAAAGTCAAAGTGAATAGACATTGTTGATGCTACCAAGATGAAGGACCTGCAAATTATCCTAAAAAATTTCGTTTTGTCTTAAGATATTTTGTTGCTTACTTGAAATTCTGCTGTTTGCCTTGGACTTCTATTTGCTTTGTTATGACGATTAATTGATGGTGATGTATTGCAAGCTCATGCTTGGCGATAAGAAGATTGTTTGAGACAGCGTTTTTTATTCAATTTCTTATGTTTTTATTTTTCCTAATTGTTAAAGTGCTATTCAAGCAACTGTTTATTGTGACCACAACCAGCTTTTATAACAAAAACAAAATCGTTTTTGTTGTAGGGATGAAGGGGTGGCTAATATACAGTAATATAACTTTTCACGACGTTGTTTTAAAATCCATACTTCACTTCATGATACCACGCACAGAGTTTTGATAAAACTCCTAAGATAATTCAGGACATAAAAAAATCATGTGCCAAAATGATTGTACGTATTTAAATGCTTGGGTGTGATTTCATTGCTGGTTGCCATTTTTTTGCTCCCTCACTGTGTGTGTAATCAAGGCAGATTTCTGGCTTCTTTTCTTTGTGTTATGTAAACAACCAAGAAACAATCACAAACAATCAAGAAACAAGAAAGCACACAAACAATCAACACCAGATTTTTACCGTGGTTCACTTGCCCTATTTGAGCAAGCTACATCCACATTAAACTCCAGAAAGGGAGTTCGCTGCACTATGATTATTGAACAATCACTTACAGTCACGATTACAAGAATACACCCAAAACCCTTGATCAAACAACTCTGATTCAAACCCATAATCCCTAGGAATACTCTAACTTGGAAATTCCTATAACAAGAACACAAAAGCTCTTCCCTTGACTGATTAACCCAAACCACTCAAGATACCCACAAATTACAACTGAAATCAGACCCAGAAAGTAAGAACCCTAATCGAACAAAGAAAATGAAAAAACGGCTCTCTCTCTTTTCGTTTGATCTGCTGTTGGTATGAAGACTTAATCATTTTATAGTGTTGACTGGAGGCTTGATCTCAGCCGTTAGTTTTTCCTCTGAATCAGCGGTCAGGATCATCTTGGAGCTGTCTCAAAACGACACTGTTCCACTAAGACTCAGTACGACGCTGTTTTAGCATTCACTCACAACAATCTCCACCTTGAATGCTGAGAATTCACAGTGCAGCAAACCCAAACAGTTCCTGCATAGTTCTGGTCTTCACAGGTTATCTCACATGCAGCAGGTTCAAGCAGTGCTTGAACTTTGCAGGTGAGACAACCTTGGTTCCCATGTCAGCTGGATTATCCTCAGTGGATACCTTTCTGACATCAATTACCCCTTGTGTTACTAAGTCCTTGACGAAGTGGAAGTGAACATCCACATGCTTGGTCCGCTCATGGTATACTGGATTCTTGCTAAGATGAATTGCATTCTGACTATCTGAGAATACAGTAACCTTGCCATCAGTCAGTTTTGCTTCGGCTAACAAACCTTGCAGCCACACAACTTCCTTAAACTAGGGGTGTTCGGTTCCGGGTACCCTGCACTTTTTGAAGGAACCGGAACCGGAACCGAAACCGAAACCGGAACCGAAACTGACGGTTCCTTGAAATTTGGAACCAGAACCAGAACCAGAACCGACAGTTCCGGTTCCTAGGTACTCAGAACCAGAACCTATAACAACGGTTCCGATTTCGGGTATCCTGTAAAATTACATGACCCCCCAAAAGTTTTTAAAATGGCAAAAAAATCCTTAAAAACTTACAAATACCCCCCGACCAGGCACTTGTTAACAAAAATAAAATTACAAATTGTAAATTCAGAATTACAAACGCCATTACTTTGTAAAGGTAGATTCTCAAAAGTCAAACCAACTTACTTTAAATGTTATGAAATATAAATATAAATGTATTCACATTACTTTTTCTACAAAAGTTTTTATTAACCCCTATAATCTTTAATTTTATTTTATATTAGTCTCAGTTCATGATTCCTACCCATTGATGATTGGTTCTGGGTAGGAACCGGAACCAAACCCAAGGTACCCACCGGTTCTGGTTCCAACCGGTTTTTTTGAACACCCCTACCTTAAACACATCAGCAATAGCAATATACTTACTTCAGTTGTTGAGAGAGCAACAATAGGTTGAAGCTGTGACTTCCAGCTAATGTAATTTCCTCCAAGGGTAAAGTAATATGAAGTGGTGGATTTCCTTGTGTCTTTGTCACCTGCAAAGTCAGAGTCTACAAATCCCACCAAGTCAAGTGTATTATGCCTTTTATAGAAATTTAAACCAACATTCAGGGTACCATTAATATACCTTAACACTCCCTTTAAGGCAGTCCAGTGCTCACTGCTTGGATTTGCCATAAATCTGCTCAGTAAGGAAATGAAATATGACAGGTCTGGTCTGGTACTGATCATCCCATACATCACAGATCCAACAACATTTGCATAGGGTACATATTCCATTTTGATTAACTCAGATTTAGTTGTAGGGCATTGACTCTTGTTTAACACAACATGGTTTGCAAAAGGCATGGACACTGGTTTTGAATGAGCCATACCAAACTTAGACACTAATTTTTCTAAGTATGATTTCTGCCTAATGATTAATTCCTGTTTACGTACTCTTGTTCCTGGTAATGTCCATTCCTAGGATTCTTTTTGCATTTCCTAGATCCTTTATGTCAAATTCTAACCTAAGCTGTCCCTTTAACTCATAAATTTTAGACTTAGACTCACTCACCAGCAACATATCATCCACATACAATAAGAGATACACATGTAGATCATGATTCAAATTAAAATAGAAACAATTGTCATATCTACTCCCAGTGTACCCTATGCTTACAATGAAATTGTCAAACCTCTTATACCATTGTCTTGGGGACTATTTCAGTCCATACAGTGATTTGTCCAGGATGCACACATGGTCAGGTTTCTTAGGGTCAATAAAACCTAGAGGTTGGCTCATGTAAATCTCCTCTTCTAAGTTACCATGCAGGAAGGCAGTGGTAACATCCATCTGTTCTAGCTCTAGGTTATAATGGGCAACAATGGAGAGCATTAACCTAATGGTTTTATACTTGACTATAGGGGAAAAGACTTCATTGAAGTCTATTCCCTCCCGTTGGGTGTAGCCCTTAGCTACTAGCCTAGCCTTGTACCTAGGAGGGTCAGTAGCTAAAATTCCTTCTTTAATCTTATACAACCATCTGCCTTTTATTAGTTTTTGGTCCTTGGGTTTTGGAACTAAGGACCAGGTTCTATTTACCTCAAGGGACCTCATTTCCTCTTCCATTGCTTGTCTCCACTTTTCCCTTTCTTTAGAGTTCATTGCTTCTTCATATGAGTCTGGTTTTATTCTTTGAATCTCTGTTCCTGCAAACAAAACAGTATATATCAGTTCAGCATAAGAAAACCTGGCAGGGGGTCTTACCTCCCTCCTTATTCTATCTCTGGCAAGTTGATAGTGTTCTAGTTGTGCATGTTGAGGCTTTGGGGCATCTGCTCCAGTTTCTTCACTATCAGATCCAGGATCTTCTAGTCCTGGTTGGTTTTCTGGTGCTTGTTCCTCGTTAGGTTGAGGTGGTTCAGCCTGCTGACCCACAGGCTCCACCTCAATGGTTGTACTCTCAGATGGATCCTTAGTAAGTTCAGATAGGGTGTGGTTACCAGTGTTCTGTCCAGTGGTTTTACAAGGGAACACCCCTTCATTAAAGACCACATCCTTGGAAATAATGATTTTTACCCCTGGTGAATTTCTGTCCCAGAGTCTGTACCCCTTAGTACCATCCTAATATCCTAAGAACACACACTTGGTGGATCTAGGCTCTAACTTTCCCCCCACTGTATGTGCAAAGGCTGCACACCCAAAAATTCTCAAATGACTTAAACCAGGCTTTCTTCCTGACCATACTTCTTCAGGACATTTAAAGTTTATGGCAGTAGAGGGGCTCCTATTTATCAGATAGGCTGCAGTGGACAAGGCCTCTCCCCAAAAGGTATTAGGTAAACCTGAAGTGAACAACAATCATCTGACTTTTTCCAGGAGAGTCCTATTCATCCTCTCAGCTACTCCATTCTGCTGAGGGGTTCTTCTCACAGTTCTATGTCTTAGGATTCCTTGCTCACTACAAAACTTATCAAATTCAGTGTTACAGTACTCTAATCCATTGTCAGTCCTTAGAGTTTTCACCTTTTTGTCTAGTTGGTTCTCCACTCTTGAAATTTAGATAGTGCCTGGTCTTTAGTTCTAAGGGTGTATATCCAAATTTTCCTGCTAAAATCATCTACAATGGACATAAAGTAACTACTGCCCCCATGAGACCTCACTCTCTTAGGTCCCCATAAGTCTGAATGTATGTATTCTAAACATCCTTTGGCCAGGTGTATGCCCTTTGGGAAACTGACTCTGTGCTGTTTTCCTAAAATACAGTTGTCACAGAACTCTAGGGTTGATATAGTATCCTTTCCCAACATGCCCTGGTTACTTAGGATATCTAATCCCCTCTGGCTCATATGTCCCATCCTAAGGTGCCATCTTTCAGTTACTGACATATTTAAGGTGACTAGAGCTGAACTTAGACAATCAGAATAATATTCTCCACATAGGATGTATAACCCATTCCTTTTTTCTCCCTTCAGGATTAGATTCTAGTTTCTATACACATTCAGCCACCCATTTTCAGCTCTGTAATAGCATTTTTCCTCATCTAAGGTTCTTAAGGATATGAGGTTCCTTTTGAGTTATGGAATGTACCTAACATGGGTAAGTCTTATTAGTTTCCCACTACAGAGTCTAAGGGTTATGCTACATTTACCTTTAACCCTACAGGCATTGTTGTTCCCCATGAACACAGTCTCCTTATCATATTCCTCAAAGTCTTGAAACCAGTCTCTATTGGGGCTCATATGGAAAGAGCACCAAGAATCTAACACCCACTCTTTTGTATTGTCAGAAACAGAGACAGTAAGCACCTCTGTTTCTTCAACTAAGTGTTTGGGTGAGGCTTGGTTTCTCTTTGTGTTTCCCTGCTTTTGTTTCTTAAGCCATTCAAAGCAATTCTTCTTCAGATGACCANAATGGGCATTGGAAGAAAGATTGTCCGAAGTTACAAAAGAAAGAGGGCAAAGCTACTTCTGATGCATGCGTTGTTGAGCATGAAGAGGATGAGTCAGATTTCTATCTTGTTAGCCTACTATCCACCTCTGGATCAAATGAGTGGATTATGGATTCAGGTTGTACCTATCATATG